ATTAATGAATCTTAAAAAAATAAATAAATAAAATTTAAAAAACTAAGCAAGTTAGGATGCAAGCCAGCAATATAGCATTTGCCCAGCATTCCCAAGACCTAGATTCAATCCCTAGAAAGAGAGAGAAACGAAGATGGGAGGGATCTTTTAATAAATAAGCAAACATCTGAGACATTTCCTTAGCTAAAAATGGAACTAAGTATTATTTAAAGGCCATTAGAAATTGTCAAAATGCACACTTGGTTTGTTGTGTCTAGGATCTAATCCAGACTTCAAAGATGTTAGGCAAGGGCTAGGTGCGACATTATACCCTGGCCCCAACAGTTCTTCATTTGGTTTAGGGATATTTTTTGTTAGTTCTTTTTACATTTACTTCGTGTGTGTGTGTGTGTGTGTGTGTGTGTGTGCGCGCGCCAAGAGGAGGGCACACCTGCCACAGGATGCTTTTGCAGGAGTTGGTTCTCTCCCATCATGTGGATTCAGAGACTAGAACTCAAGGCACTAATCTTGGCAGAAGGCGCCTTTATCTTCTGAGCCATTTCAATAGCCCTAAATACTCTTTTGTTTTTATTTTTGTTTTCTCAATGTTACTGAAATGTTAATGAAACAAAATTTACAAGTTAAATTCTAAAACTTAAGAAAAAAAAAAGGCAAGGCAGTGGTGACACATGAATTTGAGGATAGCCTCGTCTACAAAACAAGAGAAGCCCTGTCTCAAAAAACAAAAAGAAAAAAAAAAAACTCAGGTTATGAACTGGAGACATAACTCAGCAATTCAGAGTGCTTGATGCTTTTCCAGAGGACCAGGGTTCAGTTCCCAGCACCCACATCAAGTGGCTCACAACTGCCTGTAACTCCAATTCCAGGGGATCCAACACCCTCTTCTATCCTTTTATGGTACTACAAACACACACTCAAGCACAGACGCACAGACACAGGAAGAAATAAATAAATCCTTTCCTAAGAGCTAGGGTTCTAAGCTTCATAAATTGAAAATGTATTTTGATTTCATCTAAAATAAGGTGTTTGGGCACCTTATTTTCACATCAAATACAAAATAAACTAGCCTTTAACTGGAAAGGTCCATGGAAAGTTCAGAGAAGGGAGAGAAGAACGCAACCCCGAAATAAAGGCCATTCTCTGTGATGTGGAAGGCTTAATGGCTGGAGAAAACATGAGAAGGCTGAGTCTTTGGACTCTTTGGATTCCTCCAGGGAGGGCATCTGCCCTTCTGGGAACAAACCCAAAGCCTGGTCAAAACAGTTCTTGGCCTCACAAGTGAACAAAGGAGGGTGTGTAAGGGGGAGCTGGGGAAGGGGTGGATGCAAACTGGAGCATAGTCAGCATGTAGCCCCACACCCTACCAAGGAGCCTTCCACTGTGCCAGCCAAAGTGCATAGAGGGGGTACACAGCTCTGTGTGTGAGCTCACAGAGGAAGAAAGACAGGGAGGGCAGGGGTGAGAGAAGAAAGGAGGGGGCAGTTGTTTAGGACACTGTCATCATGGCAGCCACTAGCCATCGGAGTCCGGGCTGAGCTGCAATGTTTCATATGCACGAGTTACATCCGAGGGCTGGCAGGGGAGATGATGGATCAGTCAGCTTGCCCTACAAGCCTGAGGACCTGAGATTAATCCCTGCAACTCGTGTTTTTAAAAGTCTGGTGCGGTGATGTGTACTTTAATCCTAGCCCTGGAGAGGCAGAAAGAGGCAGATCCCTGGGAGCTACTTGTTAAGCTCCAGGCCAGTGAGAGACACTTTTTCAAAAAGAAAAAACTGGGGGGTGGGGGCATGAATAAAACCTGAGGGCTGAGGAATACAATGCAAGGTTGGCCTTTGGCGTCCACATACATACAAATACATGGGAGCATCTAATTACACACACACTAGTTCAGAATTAATATGAGTCAGGTACAATATCTCATTAACACATCTCTATTATTGCATGTTAAAATAATACTTTATATACATTAGGCTAAATAAAATACATAATGAAAATTAATTTTGTCCCAGTACTCAGAAGGCATAAGCAGGTAGATCTCTGTTACATATTAATTACCTAGCCAGCCAGGTCTACATAGTGGGACTCTATCTCAAAATAAATTAAATAAATAAATAAATAAATAAATAAATAAATAAATAATAAAAAATTCATTTCATTCATTCCTTTTACTTCCTTTAAGTGACTTGCATTTCTGTTAGACAGTGGTAGTTTAAAAGTCCCCAAATGGCCATCAGATGGTGCATCATCTCAGGACAGAGGGGCCTCTGTTTAAAATGTGTCAGCGGTGAGTGGGTTGTGTGGGTGGAGACCACGGAGGAGGAAAATGAGCCAGCTGGGAGTAAAGACAAGGAGGCTGTGTTCAACAGTTCACTTTAGGGTTGAGTGGGACCAGGGGCAGTCCTGGGACAGCGGGCACGCCCACACCGTAACAGGAAGCCTTTGCTGATACTCTTTCTCGGTTCAAACCATCAGTGGGTCTATACCGAGACCAAGATCTACAACTTCAGACTTGACAAAGTGCAGAGCAACTCACTCAAACCCATCCATCCCTGTGCCCCTCCAACTGGGTCAGAGATTCCCTCCAAAGCCTTGTGTTTTAGCTGGGTGGGGTGGAACACAGCTGTAATCTCAGCACTTGGGAGGCTAAATAAAGAAGATCCGAGTTTGAGGCCAGCAAGACCCTATCTCATAACGGAGGGAGGGAGGCTCAAGTTCATGAGGAAAAGGCAGCCCCTGAACCTGCTGTCCCTGACCCAGCTCCTCACTCCTCCAGAACCAAAGCCAACGTCTCCATGTCATAATTCATGAAGTGAAATAATCACTCTAACATGCTGAGGCCCCAGACGAATTAAATTAAATCCGAAGGCCTCTGGGAAAATAATTAGAAGTGTTCCTGCAATTTTTATTTTCTTCTTCTTCTTCTTTTTTTTTTTTTTTTTCCGTTTTTCAAGACAGGGTTTCTCTGTGTAGTTTTGGTGCCTGTCCTGGAACTACCTTTGAAGACCAGGCTGGCCTTGAACTCACAGAGATCTGCCTGCTTCTGCCTCCCAAGTGCTGGGATTAAAGGCGTGTGCCACTACCGCCCAGCAATTTTTATCTTCTTAAACACGTCCCAGCAAGATGGATTCTGAACCTCCAAAGAACTGAATACAGATCCTTGGCAAGAGCTTTTGAGACACAAGGCCCAAGTGTGGGGTACTGCATTCAATCCAAGTTTCTGGCTGGGAGAAGCCTTAGTGGACACTAGTTCAGACAAGGGAATAAGTTGAGGCCGAGAAAAAAATGAGATGTTACACTCTGCCTTGATATTAATTTCTGTAAATTCACTGACTATAAACTGACCCTTTTCAGGAAACTAACAGGATTGGAGTCTGAAGCTTGATGTCTGTTCTGAGCCTACTTACATACAGAGTTCACTGTCCTTAATTCATAGGGTTTTAAATATATGTGTACATATATGTGTCTGTATAGACTATATATACATGTACACTATATATAATATAATGTATATAATATATAGTGTTTGTGTACAGACTTGTGCCTGTCGCGGGGCACATGTAGTCGTCAGAGGGTAGCTTTCAGGAGTCAGTTCTTCCCCTCCATGGTGGGTTCTGAAGATGGAATTAGGGTCATCAGTCTTGCTCAGCAATTGCTCTTACCTGCTGAGCCATCCTGTGGGTCCCTGAATGTTTCCTTTTCTATCTTCTAGCTTTCAAAAGTGACTGGTTGTGGTGTATAATTATCAGTCTGATCATTTTTTAATTTTTAATCAACTTATCTCAGTGTCTTCCTACCCTCTGACAAAAATGCTCCAGAGATCTCTCATTGGGACTGGAATTCTTTGAGTAACCAAGTGAAATTTTCTGTTACTTTCACTTCTACGGAGTGAGAGGATCGAGGTAAGCCTAATTCTACATCTGATTTCCAGAGCCCAACCCACCTAAAGGTTAAAAAAACGAAGCCTGAACTTGAGGGCACAGGGCAGATGTGAGCCACGAGCAACAAACGTGATAGTCAGGCCTGTGGTTATTACTCTGAAAGCGATTCCTCTCCGGTCAAAGTACAGAAAGTGATGAGCAGAGAGTAGAGGGGTCCAGCTCCGCAGGGACGCCAGAGAAGCCTGGGAGTGGGAAGATCGGTGCCCGCATGAGGGAAAGCTCCCTGGGAAAACCTAACGGCTTAGCCTGAGCGGCTTGCAGGCTGCAAGACCCTGGAGGAAAGGACGGCAGGCGGAAGTCAGACAAGCTGGACAGTCAGGGGTACATCTTCGCGGAAAGGTGCTGCCCGGGATGCCGCCAGTGTCGTCCGGGGACGGCGGCTCCAGGGCGCTGCCTCTCACCTGGGGCCCGGCCGCCGTGCTCTCTGTCTCTGCCCGGGAAGCCCGGGTGCAGGTGGCCAGCACCACGAACCCGGCTGGGTGGTCGGGTGCAGCCTCCAACAGGGCAGCCTTCACGGACGTGGTGCCCAAGTCGATGCCGAGAGTGACGGGTCGCGAAGCCATGGCAGCGGTGACAGTGGTGACAGCGGAGGTCCAGTGGCTTGAGCAGCGCGCTAGCCGCCGCACTCTGCAACGGGGAGGGCAGCGCGGGGGCGGGGCTTCCCTGCCAATCTTTCAGCCGCACGCCACATGGCGACTTCTTGTCTTCCCATTGGTCAAGGAAGGCAGGCTCCCACACGCAGCGACCCCCGGCGATAGGTGGAGAGGCGACAGGAGGCGGGACCTAGTGGGCTGAAGGTACCGGACAGTGCCGCGGGGTCCTTGGAGCATCTTCGCCCAGGAGCGCCGAGTTTCGAGAGACGACAGAGGCTCCAAGAGCCCTGCTGCCCCTACAAGTAACTAGGTCTCCCCTCAAATCCGAGCCCCCGTCCCAGCCAAGGCACCGGCGCCCTTCCGCCCTTCCCTCAACCCTACCCAGTTTTATCGATCCGGCTCTGACTCGTGAAAACTACAACTTCCAGAGCTCCTCGCACGGAACTCTCGGCTCCCTAAGTCAGGTGGTTCGGGTCAGGTGACAGCTGGCCCCGCCCTCACACAAAGTCAGCGGATCCCGAAGAGTCCCTTCTATTCGGAAGCGGCTGCTGGCGCGAGGGTGCTGCTTTCGGCGAGGTCGGTCCGCTGAACCTGGGAGGCTGTCAGGTGAGAACCATGGGCGTCGGGACGGCCTCCCCTTTTCCCGGTAGGACTAAAACACCACCCACCCCAGCAGACACTAGCCTGGCACCTCAGAGGAGCAATCTGCCGCGAATCCAGCCTCCTTCAGCAGCGCTGGGTTTCTATCCTCTGGCCCCAACCCAGACCGGCACAACCCCAGGTTGAAGGACTAGGGTATCGATGAGCAAAAGCACTGGCACCGGCTGCCAGCCAGTTTGGGTGACACTATTCGGCTAACCCCTTGCTTGCCTCCTCTGGTGCCGCCTGGGAATGTGCAAGTGGCTTTGGGGAGGGGGGAGTTAGATGCTGTTAGGACCGTTCCAGAAGTTCCAGAAGCTCCTATTGATTCCACCAGAGAAAGAGAAGACACCTGGGTCTTGCCTTGGGTGGTAGTGGTAATAACATATTACATCATTGTTTCTCAACTTTTTTATCTTATCAGTCCACCTCCTTAAATTTTTAATACAGCTGATAAGCTCTGTTTTTTCATATCATGGCTTTTGGGAGAGCCAGAAACAATGACTACAGATATTTTCAGACCCCAAGAGCCTATTTTAGACCCCTTTGAGAATGCATGCCTTAAACTTCATCTCACTTTAATTCTGTGGTGCAGTTTCCACGGTCCCTGTTCCCCCATTAGGAATCATAGGTTAAGAAATATTCCAAAATCATACAGCAAGTAAATGGGAATCCGGAGACCTGGGCAGTCCATCTCCAGGAAACATTCCTTGTCCAAGCTATGTTATCTCTTGAGGAAGTTCCGGGTTATGGACCAACAGCAGGACTACCTCAGTCAGACACCTGACAAGGGGTAGCTGTCACGGGAGATCTCTGATTCTTGAGTGGGGATGGTAGAGGCTCTTGAAAGTGTACATCTGGCTGAGGCCTGGAAGATGGTTAGAACACATACACACACACACACACACACACACACACACACACACACACCACACCACCCAAGGGCATGGCCAGTGCCTTGTTTCTGTCTTGTAATTTTTTACAAGCCTGGTTGTTTGGTTAACCAATCTGATCATTTTAGCATTGTGGTCACCTTGTCAATTCCTTTTTCCTTTTCCATCTCTTCTGGGGTTTTCCTTCCGGATGTCTTAGCCTTTAGCACTAGGGGACTTTTTGCTGACAGACTGTTTGAATTTCACAGTGCGTATCTGCTTCAGTGAAATGAGAGAAGAGATGGTTTTTTTCAAAAGAGAAGAACACTCTGCCAGTTAAACTCCATTCATCCCCCCTCCCCCCGTTAACTAGGCTGTAGACAGCATTTGAGGGAACAGTGTGGGTCTGTGCTCACTTCCTCTGAGTAGGGCTTTCCACAACCCACTTAGCTGCTCTGAGCAGGTTTGCCCATGACATGAAACAAAGGTAAGTCCTCTCTGGGGTCTCCTTCGCAGAGGCTGTGATGCCAAGCCTGTGAGGTCAGAGGTCACAGAGCTTGTGAAGAAGAAGTCCTTTATGAACTGTCCCACTGTCGTGGCTCAGGTAGCATGTTGTCTACCAAGAGCTGAGCTAATTCAACTTTAACATGCCACTCTCTTGCTGTTTGTTTGTTGTTTGTTTTTCCTAGTTCGGAGAAGTCAAAGAACATGATGAGGAATTGGCTGTTTATTTTGACCCTTTTCCTCTTGAAGTCCATAGAGAAATGTGGTAAGTTTGTGATTTCTCAGCTTTGTAAAAAGGGAAATAGTAGCCGGGCGGTGGTGGCGCACGCCTTTAATGCCAGCACTCGGGAGGCAGAGGCAGGCAGATCTCTGTGAGTTCGAGGCCAGCCTGGGCTACAGAGTGAGTTCCAGGAAAGGCGCAAAGCTACACAGAGAAACCCTGTCTCAAAAAATAAAAATAAAAAAGGAAATAGTAGAAAGAGTAACCTCTCTGTCACCAAAGGTTTAGTGCTGTCCAGGCCACCTATGGGCAGCCTCCCACCCAGAGAGGTAGCCAGATCCAGGTCTGGTGTAGGGACATTTTACAAAGAACCAGATGGCCCCAAACATAACTGGCCTTTTACCCTGGGGTCCCTCTTGCCTCCTCTGTATTGGCATAGATAACGGTTGGTTCTTTAGCCAGACTGTACAACTGGCTCTCAGAGCCTCAGCAAGCTGGGATAGTTATCTGTAAAGAGCAGCTGTGCTTCTGCCCTCTGGACCTTTGGGAGAGAGTTGTGGATCCTGGAAGACACAAAGGAGGCCTTGTACCTGGTTCTCCCAGGCACAGATGCAAGACAAGTCTACCTGGCCCCATGTTGAAGAGAAAACATACCTTTCCCTTAGAGAAGATTGGAGCTGGTTACAGCATCCTGAGCCACACAGAAAGCCCACTAGTGGGGTTTATACATCCGTGTCAGAAGACCCCTTCAGATGCTGTTGGCATCCTTGAAATACCCAAGACATTTCTGGAATTCCTTCTTTTGTGAATAGCTTTGTTTAGTATTCACAGTGCCCAGGCCCATTTTAATCATCAGGTAGGTCATTACTCCAAAGCAAGTGTATCTTAAAGTCCCTGACAATCCCCAGAAACCCCGGGCCAAACATTAGAAATCCTACACATGAACCCTAAAGCTGCACACACTGGCTCCATCATTATGGTTGTCTGGCCTCTTGATAGCCAGAGAACTGGTCATCGCATCAGCTCATCATTGGTAAATATTAGTCGTGTTCCTTTGCAGTCACACCTTATGGAAATGTTATCTCTGGGGGGGGGAGCAGGCAAGGGGAAGGGGCTCAGACCATGAGGCCTGGCCATGCCTCCTTTCTCCGGAGGGATGCCACAGCCACACTTGAGCCCTGCTGAGTCAGCTCTCTGGGGATTGAGGGCATGCGGTTGTGTGTGCATGTGTGCATGAGCACATAATGGATACTACCTAGGAGATAATGGGAAATCTTGCGAGTGCTCCTTCTACACTGAGGGTAAACTGAGACCCAGGCAGGGTAGAGAGCTTCACAGGTAAGCTAGAACTGGAATAGGGCCTCTGTTCCCTTTGCCTCTTTCTCCTGACCGTCTCTATGAAGGAGCAGTGGAAGCTGCCATAAAACTGAGAACCTGCTGGACTTTTCTTCTGTTGGGGGTATCAGCATCCAGGATGACACAAGAACAGAGGCCTCCAGAGCTTGTCGCTTCTGACTTCTTTGAGGGGAGTCTGTGGCAGTGCAGCCCAGTGGTAACAACTTGGGCTTTGGATCCAACAAGCCTAGCTTTGAATCCTTATTCAGTCATCCCTAGATATGTGGACAGGGCTCCTTCCCTCTTGGAGGGAGTTTCCTTGACTTAAAATAGGACTGAAAATGTCCGTTGCCTATTGTGATTATTATAAAATGGGGGCAAAGAAAACAACAGAAATGGTACCGTACCTGTAGTCCCAGCACTCCGGAACTAGGAGGGGAAGATCAGTAGTGCCCTTGTGTTCCAGGCAGACTTGTGAGACCTCACTTAAGTAAATAAATAAGTACACGAGCCAGCAGCAATAACTGGGATGAGTTAGGGTACAGGGTAGGTAGTACCAGCCAGTAGCAGTGGCTTATATCTATAATCCTGGCTACTGGGAGGCTAAGGCAGGAGGATCACAAGTTTAAGACCTATCTCAAAGTTAAAAAGTAAAAACATAAGAAGGGCTGACTATGGAGCCCATGTGGGGGGGGTGTGCGGGGGACCTGCATTCAATCCCCAGTGGGGGGGGGGGAGAAAGAGGGAAGAAGAGAGGAGATTGATGATTCACGTTAGGGGAAACAAGGTGGTCTCCCCTCGGCTCACGCCACCCCAGGATATGATACAGCTTCCAGCTGCCTCCCGTCTTGGACTAAAAACACCATGCAGTAGTCAAGTGATGGCAGGTAGTAGAAGCTGACGGCTGTTTAGCACAGAGGCCCTGTAGAAAGTAGAAAGCATGCTGCTGGCCGTTCTGCATTGTATCTGTGAGACGGGTCTTAGTCCACCCACTTACAGGTGAGGCTCCACAGGTGTAGGCTCAACAGTCAAGTACCTTCTGTAGGTCACACAGCTAGGAGGTCTCAGAGCCGGGATGGAACTGTGACTTCAGAGCCTAGGATCTCACTTGCTTGGGCTCTAGTGTGTAGCTAGAGTTTTCCTGCCTTGCCCACAGTCAGGACAAATCCTTGTCACCCGCCAGTCCCACAGCCGCTCAGACCCAACCAAGTAGACACAGAGACTTATATTGTTTACAAACTGTTATGGCCATGGCAGTCTTCTTGCTAACTGTTCTTATAGCTTAAATTAATCCATTTCCATAAATCTATACCCTGCCACGTGGCTGGTGGCTTACTGGCATCTTCACATGCTGCTTGTCATGGCGGTGGCTGGCAGTGACTCCTTCTGCCTTCCTGTTCTTTCTTTTCTCCTCTATGTTAGTCCTGCCTATACTTCCTGCCTGGCCACTGGCCAATCAGTGTTTTGTTAATTGACCAATCAGAGCAACACATTTGCCATATAGAACATTCCACAGCACTAGTGTTTTCCTTAGTGCTGAGTGAGGAGGAGGTAAACACTCTGATCTGGTTCTTTGAAAGCTCCTGTCTTCCTACTTTAATACAAAGACTGGAAAATCTAACTCCCTGACATCCCTTTAAGTGCCTACACATACACACACAACATGCATGTGCCTGCCCTGAGCGGTGGCTTGTTCTGGGTCTTAACTTATCTAATGTAGTCCTGAGCAGTAAATAAAATATCATAGCCTGGGGTAGAAGTCCTGCACTCCCCTAGCTGGACAAGCCCAGAACAGAGCTTCAGACTGATAGCAAAGCAGGCAGGACAGAGTGAGCCTAGCAGTCAGGATGGAGTTAGCTTAGCAGCCTCCAGACCCTGAGGCCACAGCAACCGATCTGACCTGAGGAATCCACTCGGGTGAGGGGACTAGAGACTGTGTACTATGGAGAGTCACATCTGGGAGACTTGCACCTTGGAGAGGCCACCATCTGCATTTATAGATGGGGACTAAGCTGAAGAAAGCAGCTCAGACGTGGCAGAGCTGGGCCCAGATGGGTGAGTTTCAAGCTAGTGACACCTTGGAAGATAAGGTGACTCTCCCAGGAAGTGTCCGTGCAGTAGAAATACCAAGGGGAGAAACCAGTTGAGGGGGTCGGGGGAGGTGACACTGGCGTTCTTTCCAACCTGAGCTCTGAAACTTCGGGTCTTAGTTCTTCATCTTCTGCCGTGGAGGGTTCTGGGTAGAGGCCTGCACCTTCTGTCCCTGTGAGAGCCATCTTCCCCAGATGGTGCACTTCCTTTGCTGCCTAAGATACCCTTCCCTCTCTTAGTCTGGATCCCTGATCATGACTTCTGGGATGTGCCTATCCTTGAAGTCTGTGAGGCAGGGGAGGTGAGATGCTGTTGTGCCCATTTCTCGAAACCCCCAGAGACCACCAAGGAGCCGGTTTCCGATGCAAGTGCATAAGGGTCCTTTTATTCAGGTTCAACCTGGGCCACCGCACGACAGATGGAAGGAAATGTGACGGCGGCCATGAGCCCAGGTGCAGAGAGTTCTTATAGGGAAAAACCACAGGCCAGGAATTGGCAACTTGGGATTGGGTAGCGTGAAACCATTGGGTTAGAATTTTGGCGGGGAACCACAACCTGCTGAACAGGATTATCTGGACTGCTCAGCAAGATTGTCTAGATATCTTCAAGGGCCTAAACTGCAGACAGGATGTCTGCAGGAGGATACTGCTCTGTATCTATTCCAGTTGTCATGGCACATTCCTGAGGTCCTTCCTGGAACTGAATACAGCAGGTGGTCTGAGATGGTGGCCCTTTCCCTAAGGTAGAGCCTATAAAGTCAAGTGTAGGCCTTCACAATGGGCAGGTATGCCATGAAGCTTTGAGTACACCTGGGCATGGCACGGTGACAAGGGCGGTGTGCTGTCCAAAGAACACAGGAGTTACTCAAAGAAGCTACCTAGCCATGCCCTGCAACCACAGTGTGCTGGGTTATTTGATCTCCCCTAATGATCTTCCTTCCTTCTCTTGGTGTTTTGTTTTGTTTTGTTTTGTTTTGTTTTGTTTTGTTTTGTTTTGTTTTGTTTTGTTTTGTTTTTGCTGGAGATTAGATTCTGGGTCTTATGCTCACCAGTCATACATTCTACTTCTGAGCTATATTTCCAGCCTAGCCCTCACCCCAAAATGGTTTTCTAAGACCTAAGCCTGTTTCCTCCCTCGCCCTGGAGCCTGTTTGTCCACCTTCTCCTGAGTTAGCATCTTAACGCCAAGAAGCAAGCCCTGATAGTGGAAAGTGTATGTCCCTTGCCACTATCCTCCAATCTCCAGCAAACAGACAGTCAGTCTCAGGAAGGGAACCATGCATGGGTTGAGCTGAATCTGCAGGAAAGCCCAGGCGGTTCTTTAGAAACATGTTATCCAGGCCTTGTGCCCATCTCAGAAGCCAGGAATGAGACCAGATCAATTTTTCAGAGGGGACCTCTGTGCTGTCTATCTGCAGAGGTGGTTCCAGTCTGCCCTTTACAATCACAGATGTTGGTTTGAATTTCTTCTTTTTTAACTTTTGGGCTCTGTAGTTCCCAGACTATTTCTGGGGAGCTCAGCTTGCCCACAGAGGGGAAGGAGGAGGAAGTTCCAGCACTTCCTGCTCTAAACTGTGGCAGTCTGACCCTGGTGCAGAGATGGGAAGAGTATAACGTCAGTCTGGATGTACACCTAGAAAGCAGGACAGTCAGTGAGTCAGGGCTAGTGAGTTCAGATGGCGGGGGCCTGGTGCCCACTCCCCCTTGTGGGCTGAGCTCTCTGTCCTGGGGACTCATGTCATTGACTTGGATCTTTCCAGAGTCAACTGTCAGTCTCATTGTGCCTCCCACTGTGAAGCTGGAAAATGGCAGTTCAACCAACGTCAGCATCACCCTTGGGTAAGTCCTCAGCCCCAGTCGGGACTGACCCCTGGAACAGTCTGCATATACTTCTGGTGTGATGCTTTCGCCTCTTTGTAGGACATAAAAAGAGTGGTTTGAGCCCATGATGGCAGAGCAGGGTCCCAAAGTCAAACACCTACAGGGTCCTTGTTTCCACTAGGAGGAAAAGGAGGACACTTTTCCCTAGAAACATGAGCTGTTTCCTCTAGCAAGAAGAGTCTTCAGGTGGTCCCAGGTGATGCCTGACTTCAAGACCCTTTCCAAGACTAAACATTTGAGCAGAGCCCCTAAAAATCAAGGGGCAAGGAGCTGAACCCCTGACCAACACAGCACAGCTGAGGTCACTTGCCAAAGCAGAAGTGACAATATCAAGGGGTCCCACGTGCCCCTGCTCACACTTTGCCTTTGTTTAAGAGTCTTATTTGCTGGCACCTACTGTTGAGACCTGACGCTACCAAAGGAGCCTTTCCTACTGGGGCAGAGAACCTTTGACCTGTCCCCTCTGTTTGCCCCCATTATTCACAGCCAGAATTCCACCTTCTTGTGTTCTCACCCTACCCCAAAGGAACAGCTAGTCTCCTAATAAAGCAGGAACATGGTTCCTTCCACCTCTTACCTCTCCCAGTTTAGGGGCAAATATCTTGGTAAAGGTATTCTCTTACAGAAATGAATGGAAGTAAAGCATAACATCATGCAGAAGAAGTCGAACACAAAAAACTCTGGGCTGTCATATTCTTTGTGTATAAAATATAAAACCAGCGACTCCGTGATGCCAGCCCATTGGTTATCCTTGGGGTCAGGAAACAGGAGGGGAGCAGAACAAGGCTTCCGGGGTGTTGGAAATGCTTGTTTCTTGATCTGGAGACTGGATATATGCAGTCTGATCACACTGCCCTTCCAGATCCTGATTTCCAGAAAGGAAGGCCTGGTATGAAATCCCAAGGGTTGATTGATTATCTTACAGGGTCCAACTTCCCAACAGTAACCAGACTCTTATCTTCCTAGGCATCCATTAAATACAACCTTGGTGATCACTTTTGAAATCACGTTTCATTCAAAAAATCTCACTATTCTGGAACTTCCTGATGAAGTAAGTAACAGACCTTATTAATGCTAAAGGCAATGCTGGGCAACAGAGTACACTTTAATTAAGAGCTTGTGGGGGGGAAAAATCACTTACCCCGCCCCCCCATTCCATCCTAGAAATACGTAGTTTGGGCTTTGTTGGTCTCTTTAAGGTTGAGTGTTTTCTGCTGTGTAGTTTGAGTGAAGGATTCACAAGATGAATGCAAGTTGAAATGAGTAGTTTCCAGGGCTCCAATCCTACAGCCTAACCGTGGCTAATAATAATAAGGTACGGTGTATAGGCAGGTGCCAAAAAAAAAAAAAGCCTGAGGCAAAGGTGATTCTGAGTACGGAGACATTCTACAGATATTTTAAGGGTCTGCCACAACTTTGGATAAGAAGTTTAGGCCTTGCTTTAAAACGTTTTATGAAATTGGGGGGTGGGGGTGGTTCTCAGTGTGTAGAGTCTACCTAGCATACATGAGGTTTAAATCCCTGCTACCACACACACACACACACACACACACACACACACACACACACACATACATGCAAAGAAATGAAGGAAAAAGAGAATGTGTGTGTGTGTGTGTGTGTGTGTGTGTGTGTGTGTGCGCGCGCGCGCGCGCGCACGCGCGCGCGTCAGAGAGAGAGAGAGAGACTGACTTTCTAATTTTTGTGTTTCTAATGCAGAATCCTATCCCAGACCTACTGATTCAAAGTCTATTTGTTAGCAGGGTCTGTGGATGATTGGGGCCCACATTAAAGTTTGTGAAGCACCATTCTGAGACGTTGGTAGTGGCTGGGTGTCAATTACATAACTCTGTCTCTGAGGCTTTCTGGTATAATAATGATGATCATTCATAGCTTTTTATGTTTTATCTTCCTGCTTCTATCTTGCCAACCATGTAAATCAGTTGTCATTCAGCTAGATAAGACTTCAAAAGGGAAGCATCAATTCCAAAAAAAACAAGGGTTTATAAAAACAAGCAAGTGGTGGGCCTGTAATTTCAGTTATTTGAGAGGCTGGAGGCAGGAGGATCACAAGTTCAAGGGCTGCCTGAGCTGCAGAACAAGTTCACAGACAGCCTGGGAAAATAGTTGAGACCTATCTCAAAATAAAAAATAGGAAATAAAAAGCCGGAGTTAGAATTCAGTGGTAGAATCCCAGACCTTGGAAGGCAGAGGCAAGTGGATCTCTGTGAGTTCAAGGCCAGCCTGGTCTACATTGCAAGTTCTAGGACAGCCAGGACGAACATAGAAAGACCCTGTCTCAAAAAAAAAAAAAAAAACTCAGTTGTGGAGCATTTGGTGGCATGCACAGGCACTGTTTCATTCCCCAGTAGTGAAAGAAGAAACAAAAGCTTAATGACAGTCAGTCAGGATGAATAAGTCTGAAGGCCGTAGGCCGTAGTGACTATTACTAACAACGAAGTATTATATATAATTATGTATCAAATAATAGTATTTAGTTGAGAAAGGACCATGTATAGGACAGTGGTTTCATAAGGTCATATTACCCAGTGATGTCATAGCCACCTTTATTTGCAAACATACTCATTATAGTATTCATATGGCTCTGAAATTTCCTGACTTCTTAGAGTATCTCCTGATGTTAAAGGACATGTGCCCATACTTGAAACTGATAAAAATTAGATCTTCAATGTTCGCACCCCTCCCACCCCATCCCCAATCCCCCTACACACAAAAGAATGTTAAGTATGTAAGGTAGTAGGTGTTAATTAGCTCAATTTAACCATGTTGCAATGAATATGTATATTAAAACATTACACTTTATCATACACAATTTTTATTTACCCATCATAATAACAGAGGTGGGGGAGGGGCCACAAGAAAAAAATTGCAGGGACAACCTTGTTATTCACAAGACCCTGGGTGGCTGTGGAAATGGGCTACAAATCAGTTCTGGGCTCCTCAGCAAGCAAATAGCTGTGAGAGGGGATTCGGAGTATCCCACTAAAGAGACCTTCTATCAGAGGTGGCTCTTACACACCCTTATCCCCATGGGTAGCATTGTGCAGTATTAACCACTGCAGACACACACACACACACACACACACACACACACACACACACACACACACGCACACACACACACGAGGCCTGAAGGCTGAGGCCAGCATGCAGCACAAGGGGAGACACAGTCCTATGAGCAAGTCTGGTGCAAGGCCTCTAAGCTTTGTTTGATCTGCAGGTCACATGTGGACTCCAAGGGGAACAGACACCAATCACTTAGTTTAGGTGTGGACATGGAAGTAAAGGTATCCTCTTGTAAAAATAAATGAACGTCAAGAATATTAGGCAAAAGAAGCCCAATACAAAAAAATGGGTTGTAAGGTTCCTTGACTCCATGGTGTCAGGCCAGTGGTTATCTTCAAGATCAAGAGACCTTGGGTGGGGGGAGCAGAACGGAGCTTCTGGAGTGTTAGAAATGCACATTTCTTGATCTGGAGGCTGAATGTGTGTAGCATGTAAGACACTTCATCAACCTGTGATATGCGTACTTTTCTGTATATGTATTATAGACCTGGTTGTTTTTTGTTTTGTTTTTTGTTTTTTTAATTAGCGGTGGGAGTCAAAACCAAACCATTTTTGGAAGATGGTCTTTATGAACACCTGAACCCACCTTCTCGGGCTCCTGCATCACTGGCCCCTCCCTGCCCAGAGCTAAGCGCATTCTTGTCCTGTGCCTGTGATATAGGAAGCCAATGGTCAGAACCTGGAAGTCAGGTGGTCTGGGAGTTCAGCCTAGAAGCATTGGGTCAAGGACTTCAGCCAATCAGTGTTTTCCTCATTTGTAGGGTTCATCATGTCTCCTGGACCACACTCTGGGGATTAAAAGCAATAGCAGGAAGTATAAAACAGCCAGCATAGACTTGGGCATCAACCTGGCAGGGCCTCAAGTCTTCAGTAAGAAGCCCTGCTAGGATGAAGATAGGTTTCTTCTGTATCCCAGAATCTAATCAATATTTATGTGTATAATTCAGCTATCATTTGGCTTAAAAGGGCTTACTGGGAAATGTTATCATTTATACTATTTTCTATAGAGAAAATATTTTACTGTTTAAAATAACCCTGGACTTTTAAATTATAACCTATTTTCATGAAAGGAAAAAAAAAAAAGAAGAAGCCCTGCTAGCCTGGCAGCTGAAAGCAGGGAGATCTCAAAGTCTAGACCAGATTGTGCTGTGTAAGCAAAACCCTGTGTGTGTGTGTGTGTGTGTGTGTGTGTGTGTGTGTGTGTGTGTGTGTGTGTGTGTGTGTAGGCAGGTGTGGTGACTTGTGTAATCCCAACACTCAGGAGACTGAGGGATGGTGATTTCTGAGTTTGAGGCCGGCTGGGGCTACATAGTAAGTTGCAGGCCAGGCAGAGCCACATAGCAAGACTGTCTTAGAAAACCAGAGAAAGAAACCACTGTTGGTTTAATGAGCCACATCTATGTGGTACCTACAACATCGGTTGAGGGTGGGACCTAGAGTGTTATAAGGGAAAATGGGACAGTTTGGTTCCAGAAAGATGCCATCCAGCTCCCTGCTTCTCTGAAGGGATTTCAGTGTGGCAGGAAGATGACAAAAAAGAATCAGGTGGCACAGGCAGGCTCCAGGTCCATCTTCCAGGAATAGGCTTCTGATAAATATCAAGCAGAAATGACCACAAGAGCATCTTGTGTTCCCACTTCTGCTGCTTTGTTGTTTGGCAATGAGGCGGGGCATGGGGAAACATCCTTCATGAGTTTCCCTGAGCATCACAGTACTGGAAATAGAAATAATACAGCTCTCACAGTTCAGTCATCGTAGGAAGCCTACCATGTGCCCAGCTCTGCACTGTGAGCTTTAGGGACATCAGGTCATCCAAAGCAGCCCTGCAAGGTAGGCACTGGTGTTATCCCCAAGTACAGATGAGTAGACTGAGATAGCATGGCTTATCCTACACTCCTTCAGTGGTTAGCCAGGGAAGGCCAAGGACCAGCCTGTGGTTCTGCTCAGAAAGCCAGATGGAAACATGGCAGGGTGGGGTTTAAGTTGGCTGGCTGCTTCTTGTGCCTGGTTAGTAAGTTTTCAGAAAGCAGAACCAAGTATGATATGTCCCTGCTCCCATCCCCTGGTTCACGGCCTGGAGTCAGACCCTGTTAACTATACATGGCCACAGATCAAATCCAGTCCTCCTGACAGGTCGTAGTGCCTCCCGGAGAGAAGAATGCCTCTTTCCAAGTGACTTCTCAAAACGTTGGACAAGTGACTGTTTATCTGCACGGAAATCATTCCAACCAGACCTGGTAGGCTGGCGTCCGCCCCCACCCCTGTGGCCTCTCATAGAGCAGGAAGGGTGGCCATGCACAGGTGTGTATCAGGGCTTCCTCCAAAAGCTTTACCTCGCGCCTCCTGACCCCAAATCCCTTTCTAGCCCCAGGATTCGGTTCTTGGTGATCCACAGCAGAATCGTTAGCATCATAAACCAGGTGATTGGCTGGATCTACTTCATGGCCTGGTCCGTCTCCTTCTACCCACAGGTGATCCAGAACTGGAGGCGGAAAAGGTAACTTGCCCAGCTTAGAGCTGTCCCAGCAGACCCTTGTGGGGCTGCAGAAAGACACCCCTCTACACTTGTGTCTGCCTACAAGCAAGGTGGGGTTTCCCGTGCTAGGGATTTGGTTCCTTGCCCAGTTCAGCCCTTCCCTATGGGAACAATAACATGGAGCTTCTCAGCTAAACCAAAAATGGGCTGGGTAAGGGAAATTCTGCCCTGAAGCTCCTTGGCCCTGGAAGGCTGGGCATCACGTCATGCAACCTTCAGCCCCAGAGCTAAGCACTTCTGCTGTGACTTGAAAGACAGAGTCAGCGTCGGCCTGGGGTCAGTCAAGGACATAGCTGTCCTCTCTTCACACTGTCATATGGGTCTCAGGTCTCATAGGGGACTGCCAAGCAGTGAGCCAGGGGAGTGGGTGGGAAGTGGGTGCTGTCTCCCCCCTAGAGGCCTCCAGGAGAAGCCTCTGGAGTGTGGGGAGGAGGGTGGCCTGGCCCTCAAGAAGGCCAGTTGGGTGGCATCAGCCATGGGAATAGACCGCTAAGGATGGTACTGAGGCCTCCTTTCCCATGCACTGGAGCTGTGCCCCCTCCCACCCCAGGGGTTCTCCGCCTTACCCCTGCCCTGCTTTTCCCCCTCTGCCCCCTGCAGTGTCGTTGGTCTCAGCTTTGACTTCTTAGCCCTGAACTTGACAGGCTTCGTGGCCTACAGTGTTTTCAACATCGGTCTTTTGTGGGTGCCCTACATTCAGGTACAGCATTGCTCACCCCCTACAGCCCACCCAAGCCCCTGGGTGACCATGCTTCTCTTCACCTCTCAACTTCTCCTCCTCACCCCCCGCCCAACAGGAACAGTTTCTCCTCAAATACCCCAACGGCGTGAACCCCGTCGACAATAATGATGTCTTCTTCAGCCTACATGCAGTCGCCCTCACTCTGATTATTATCCTGCAATGCTGCCTATATGAGGTAGGCAGTGAGGCCTGGTGACCTGGCCTGCACCTGACGTCCTAAGCCAACCCCCACCCCACTCTACCCACATGCCCTGAAGGGATGATGATAACATGACGGCCCCCAGCCTTCTGTGGCTGAGTAGATTTGGGGTGGACTTTCCTATCTTTGTCCCTGGCTTAACTGAGAGAGGGTGTCAGGAAAATGGTGTTTTCATGGGCCAAGGTTGAGGGAGGTTCTTGGTAAAGGGGAAGGCAGGATCATTCACCATGGTGTGAGGGAAACTGTTTATAGATGGGAATGACCAGGGTTAGGGGTACCAGTGGGGAGCCAGCTCCTGGGAGGTCAGGAGGAACCTGGATTCAAGCTCTGCCACTGAAAAGCTATCTGGGGTCTTAGCGTGGAATGGAGGCACCTTTACAAAGACCCAGTGTTTCACAGGAGCACCCCAGATGTGACAGCTTTACCATCACCTCTCCATGATGTGCCGCCACCTTCGTCCACACAAGACCAGTGGGGGCTGTGTGACTTGAACGAACCTCCTTGGTTTTCTTGCACCTTTGCTGTGACATTCCGCTGAAGGGGCCTCATTTGGGGCCATGTCTAAAAAAAAAAACTGGAGTCGGGGACAGATTCCAGTATCCCCAGGTTTCATCCATATCCTGGAATGAGCTGACATCAGGGCTGGGTGAGGTCTGGGCCTTCAGCATCAGGGTGTATGTCCCTGCACGGTTTGCTCCCTCCAAATGAGCTCCGAGGTGTCCAGCTCCGTGGAGTTGGAGCTTGGTCGGTAGGGGCCAGAGGATCCAACATGGATGGAGCAGGAGAGATTGACTGTAAAAGGTTGGGGCTGGTGCTAGGATCCACACCTCTTCCCAGCCCAGGTTTGATTCACTCACCACCCAGATAGAGGCCATCATCTCTGGGTTTGGTCTCCTGCCCTGGCCTTGTGCAGACACAGCTCCAATGCTCTTGGCCCCCTCTTTACACAGGTTACACCAAGGCCAGGCTTCTGCCTCCAGCCCTGTCCTCCCCCACCCACCCTGCGCCCCTGTCCAAAGCCATCCCCCTCCCTGAAACCATGAAGCAACCTGAGTCCACGTCTACAAACCCCACCCTTGTCTCATCCTCAGCGAGGCAACCAGCGCGTGTCGTGGCCCTCTGTTGGCTTCCTGGTACTCGCGTGGCTCTTTGTGTTAGTCACCATGATTGTGGCTGCAGTCGGTGTGACCACATGGCTACAGTTCCTCTTCTGCTTCTCCTACATCAAGCTCGTCATCACGCTGATCAAGTATTTTCCACAGGTACTCCAGAGTCTTCCTGCATTTCCGTATGGCTAGTAGTGTGAGCGGCAAGAGGTACTGAGCCCAGGCCCTGCTCTCATGGGGCTGCTTTTTACCAAGCTAAGGAGACAAGAGTGGAAAGCTGTAGTCGGAGCCCAGAAACCCAGAATGGCAGAAAGCCAGTGGGTACCACTGCCTGCCCTTTCCTGGAGCCAGACTCATGTGTCTTTCCTAATAACTTTGGACTTCTCTCTTTTGCCTGCCTGCCACTAGAGCCATCCATCCCTAAGGACCAGTGGCAGGGGATCAGAAGAAAAAAAAATCAGACAGAGGAGGGAGCTGACCACTGTGGCCTTCTCCTTTGCAGAGATGTTCTCAATGGAGGTCCCTCAGCATGCTCCCCTCCCCAGTTCTCACAGTCCAATCCAGGTCCTGGGGCTTAGACTCAAACATGTCTTCCCTAAGAAGCATGCTGGCTCCAGGCCTGGTGTAAAGAAATGACATCCACATAAGAATTCTAGAGCCACCTTGAACTTTTTCCCGGCAAAGAAGCCTCAGTGCTGAGAGTCTTGTATCCACTGTGCTAGAGATAAGTTACACTGGCTACAGGCAGGGGGAGATCCTGAGGGATAAAGCAGAGTTCTGTAGACTGTAGAGAGTGCTATTTCAGGCCCAGGCAGCCTGCATGGGAGTCCTGGCTGCTGAGCATGCTGAGAATCGAGAAACTGGGTAGCTAGAGCCAGGTCCCAGGGAATTTGCATGGAGGGACCAGGTTGTGATAAGGAACCTGGGGCAGGAGCATCCATGGGAGACATTTCGAATTATCTGTAACTGGAGAGGGGACACCAAGTATGGGATAGAATGAGAAAGATCAGGAAGGGGACCTCCCTCCTGGGTGGTAGGGAAGGGTATGGTACCAGCCAGAGATGCTCTGAGGGCACTGTGGGTTTTGAGGAGGAATCTGAGACTGGGGTAGCAGGAAGAGGGGAATGCCCAAGAGACTGGGAAGGCCCAGCAGTCAGAGGTGGCAGCTGGGCCACTCTATAGGCGGCTGAAGAAGTCAAGGACTCAGTAGCTTTTCCAAGGGAGCCCCACACCAGAAAGTCTGGCTCCCAGCCACACTCCTAAGTAGTGTGGAGTCCAGGCTGAAATGGGGACAGAATCCCTGGAGCTGTGATGAATCAAGAGTCACAGTCAGACTTAGTGGTACACACCTGTAATCCTAATACCCGGGAAGCTGAGGCAAAAGGATCATGAGTTCAAGGCCAGCCTAAGCTACATAGGGAGACACTGGCTTAAAAAATAACTAGGGCCAGGCGGTGGTGGCGCATGCCTTTAATGCCAGCACTCGGAGGCAGAGGCAGGCAGGACTCTGTGAGTTCAAGTCCAGCCTGGGCTACAGAGTGAGATCCAGGAAAGGCGCAAAGCTACACAGAGAAACCCTGTCTCAAAAAAGAAAAAACAAAACAAAACTAGAAATCAGAGGTCTGTGCCTGCTCTAAGAGGTTGAAGCTAGGCAGCATTCCCCCACCCCCAGCCCCACCCCTGCATGCAGACTGTTTGCCTGGCTCCAGTTTGTCGAAGCCCAGAGGTCACTGTGTTCTCGAGCCCTGAGCTTAGTACATGAGTGGGAAGAATCAGCAGATCTCGTTTGGAGTAGCGGTCACAAGGCATGTGTGGCATTGTCTGTCCCCAGGCCTACATGAACTTTTACTACAAAAGCACCGAGGGCTGGAGCATTGGTGGCGTGCTCCTGGACTTCACAGGGGGCAGCTTCAGCCTCCTCCAGATGTTCCTCCAGTCTTACAATAACGGTGAGTCTGCCAAAGCTGCTCCCACCAGTGAGGGAAAGCACGGGAGGAGGGGCCTTCCTTGGAATCCCTAGCCGTGCAGTTTCCTGGGCAAATGGGGGTCCTCACATCCCCACCACCACACACACACACACACACATCTGCCTGTCTTAGAAGCTTCCAGCCTAAAACCAGATTCTGCCCCCTCTGGCTTTTCACAGACGAATGGACGTTGATCTTTGGAGACCCAACCAAGTTCGGACTTGGCGTCTTCACCATCTTCTTTGATGTTGTCTTCTTCATCCAGCACTACTGTTTGTACAGAAAGAAACCGGGGTACGACCAGCTGAACTAGAACCCAGAGACCCAGTACAAACAGCCAAGGCCTGGGCCCTCGTAGGAAAAGTTGTGTCCAGCAAAGGCCAGAGAAGCAGTTGGTGTACAGGGCTGGTACCGTACGCCGACAGAGAAGCAAGCACTCTCTTCAAGGGCCAAATGCCTTAAACTCAGCCTGCCTGCCTTCACCCCAGGCCCTTCCTGAGCCGTAGAGGACCCCTCCCTGGGACAGACACCTGACTGCTTGGAGACTGAAAGCCAGACTTGAGGTGGTCTCTCCCAACCTCAGGTTCCAGCCACCTGCTGGGAGGCACCCAGCCCTCCTGCATCTTGATACGCCATCTCTTTTCTTTAAGGCTTCAGGCAGCACACACAGGTCCGACAGCCAACCCAGACAGAACTGGGCAGCAGGTTTGCAGCCGATGGCCTTGCCCCAAACCACCAGTGTTTCTGGGAGCAGCTTGAAGGGCTAACCTTGCAGCTGGGAGCCAAGGATGCTTCCACCACTGTGCTCACGGGAACCAAGCAGCCAGGTGCTGTGGCCAATGGACTGGAACAGGTGCTGATGCTGGTGGTGGAGGGGAGAGGACTGTGGGGTGAGGCTCGGGGTCCTTTCTCTGAAGGCTACATTTCTGATCCTCATTCTCTACAACTGCTCCAGTCACTGGAGAACACGTGGCCCCGGGCCAGTGCCTGGTAAAGTGTATTTCTGATCCCTGAGGTGCCTGCCAGATCAGTGGGAAGTGGACCTGCTGCCCTCTGGATTGTTACATACAAAGACAGTTATCACAGTAACTTTTTGATTTTTTTTTTAATCCCCAAGGGATATTTTGAAATGGCTTGTTTTCTTTTGCCCTCTTTCTTACCTCCACTTTCTGAGAGTCAGAAGGAGCCCCATCTCAGTACCTCACCCCCACTGCTCCTAACAGTACACCTATGGAGCAGGTACATAGTACCAGCATGTGCCTTAGAAACCCATCAGTCAACCAAGCAGTAAGAGTACTCTCCCCCCCCACCCCAGAGGGGATACCTCCTTCCCTTCCCCCATCCCCAAACTAGAACTCCACTTTCTTAGCTGTTGAGGAACCTCAGAAGAACAGGAACTCACCTCCTGTAATGCTTATGAGTCCCACCCTGATCCCTAGCCTCCTCCTCCTCCTCCTCCCAACTGTCCTTCCTATGCCAGATGGGGAAGGAACCAAGGTGTGCCTTGAGTTTATCAGTCTGTCCTTTTTGCTCTCTACAAGACTGATACTGAGGGGCCCTTGTATTTCTCATTCTTGTATATTTTTTTTCTTGTCTTATTTCATTTTGGTGGAGTATATGTCCTTAATTAAAAGGTGGCTTGTTTACATACACTTGGAACATTTACTGGATGCAGAAGGCAGTTATGTTGACCTTTGGAACCAAGTCCTTGGGCTTGGAGGACCTACGTGAACAAATGTATAGGGTTGTGGAGTCCCTTGACTTGAGGTGGCTGCATGTTGACCCACACTGGATCGGGGAGGCCCTCTCAGGCTCAAGATGCCTGCCCAACCAGAGCCAGGTAGGCTTGTTTCACAGTGCCTTCTCTGCCAGTACCAAGGTCCCATCAGCATGTTCAGGCTGGGGATGTGAGCAGGGGTAGGAACCTCAGGGTGGGGCATGAAGCAGGGGTGGTGAAGATCTTACTCTCTAGGCCGAAACATCTCTAAAGTCCTGTTTCCTAGAGTCAGGATTGCAGCCTGGCCAAGCCCACAGCTCAACTACTGATTTTTTTTTTTTTTAATTAAATGTGTTAATGGGCTGGACACAGTAGTATACCTGCAAGGTCAGCTATGTAGGAGGCTGGGGCAGGAAGAACACAAGGTCATGGCTGATTGAACAACACCGAGAGACTTTCTCGGGGTAAGGCGCGGACGGATGTGGCCCACTAGCAGAATGCTTGCCTAGTGCGCAGGTTTGAGGCCCTGGGTTCAACAGCACCAGGAGGGGAGAAAAGTGTTATTGGGTGTTTTACACTTTAAAAACAGATTCTAAATTCTGGACTTTTTCTTTAGGAGAGTGCTATGCCTCAAACCCAGGACCCTGAGCAATCAGACAGGCGCTCTATCACTGACCCATACCTCCAGGCTTCTGGGCTTTCCTTTACCTTTCTGATTGGGCAGTGATAGGCAAGCCCCTGAGCGGCACCCGCCCAGAGTGCCCAGCTCACCATCTAGCCAGCTCGGCCCTGTAAACATCTGGGTTTTTCCCATAAACCCGAGTACCCAGGAGGCTCCTCTCAAGAGGAGACTGAAGCTAGGCTGCACAAGAGGCAGCGAGGGCTCTACAGCGACACCCACGAGAAAATATACTGCAGACTTCCCACCGCCGCAGGGAAGGTGCTTCCAAGCATTTCCACAAGTGTGGTCTCTGCAAACCACAGCGTGCTCCCGGTGAGGCTTCTGAGGGACCACCAGAGAGATGTCTTCCAGGCAAATAGGCCTACGAGGAGCTGTGCTTTTCCCCCAGAACAGCAGGGGATAGGCTAGACATCTTTAAAATCAAAGGACTTATTTCATTCCACCCTCCAAGACACGTGCCCACCACCTCAGCAGAAACCCCAGTAAATTCCAGCATTGTTTATTGGGCACAAGTGTTGAGCATGGGGTAGCATCATACTGCCCCGTTTCCATAGTAACCAACTGGCTTAGTCACATGCTACAAGTTGCTGCTTCCAGGTGTGTGAATTAGTAAGCTAAATTCAAAAGGAGAATTGGCTTTTTCAATTCAGTAAGATAAAAACACTTTGTATCAAAGTTGTGACTTACAAAATACAAAAGCTGAACCCACAGGTGTAGAGAAAAAAAATGGCAATCCTGAGAGCTGCCCTGAAATGTCGGTCTTGAAACTTGTAGAAATGGTTTAAGCAGACAGATCCTGGATAGGCCAGTACCCCTCAGGGAAATGAAGGTAGTGGGAGCCTGCCCTCCTCCATCCAGGTGGCCTTCATAAAGTCTCTGGCATATTTGGGTCCAGCCCCAGCCTGGGCCTCGTGATGGGGGAAGTATGGAGAGAGGCACTGAAGAAGGGCAGGGCCAAGCCCTTCAGCCAGAGCAAATCGGGAAAAATGGCCCTACCTGGCATTTCCAAGCTTTGGCAGCTCTCAGAAGGTGTTTCCTGACTGCCCGGCCCCTGCTGTGGCCAAGCAGCAGGTCCCAGGCTGAGCCGATGGTCACTGCAGACTGGATACTACTCCAAGCCCTTATTTCCAATCCTCAGCATCCGAGAGAGAGAGAGAAAGCTGGTCCCATGGCCTCCGACGGGGGTGGAGGGGTAGGAAAGCTGGCCTGGACCTTGGGATCGGCCGTTAGCCCTCAGAGCTGGGGCCCGGCACACAGCAGAAACCAGAACGAGATACAGAGAGAGCGTGGATGTGTTGTCACTATACAAAAAGGTGGGTGGCTACACGTCAAGACTGGCTGACTGCTAGGACAGCATAGACTGCTGTACGGCCTTCTGCAGAGACTGCCGGGTCACCAGCAGACGCACCACTTCCTCCGAGCGTTTGGTGAGCCGCTTCCGAGCCTGGTCATGGGTGACCATAGTCATGTCCCAGCCGTTCACCTGGCCCAAGGAGAGAACACAGGGTACCTCAGCTCTCTGCCCTCTAGAACAGTGGCTCTCAAACTGTGGGTCACAACCCCTTTGAGAGTTAAACAACCTTTTCACAGGGGTCACCTAAGACTATATGCATATCGGATATTTTACATTATGATTCACAACAGTAGCAAAATTACAGTTAGGAAGCAGCAGTGAAAATAATTTTATGGTGGGGGGGGGTCACCACAACATGAACTGTATAAAGGGTCACAGCATTAGGAAGGTTGAGAACCACTGCTCTAGAATTTGGAAATAGGGTTTTGAGGAGCTCAGGCTATCCACGCAGGCCCCCAAGCTAGTATCCCCTAACAGAGATGCCCAGCATTCTAGAGGCACACAGACCAACCAACTTCCTCAGGGGCAATAACAGCATGGCTTCAGAAACCCATTTCAATGAGTCGCTCCTCTGGGAAGCTGGGTCAGCCCTCAACCCCAAATGTTTCAGCCCCTCTCACCCAAATCTTGGGTTTCCTCCTCTGGGACAACCATACCTGCATGATCTTGTCTCCAATCTGCAGCCCAGCAATTTCAGCAGGGCCTCCCTCAGATATCCGTGTGACGTAAATGCCCTGGAAAGAGACAACCCAGGTAAAGCCCTGTGGTCACTGGATTGGCCCTTTACCCACAGAGCCCAGCATGACAGACTCTCAGAAACTCCTCTGTCCCTGTGCCCACCTATCCCACCAATACATTCAGCTGGCATGGACTGTGCCATGACAGCCAGGGGCCAGTGTAGCTGCCCCTGGGATGTTCCAGCCTGCTGATGGCCACCTCCCGCTCCTCCAGGCTGTCTCGGCATGCCTTCCACTTAATCCCACCAGATCATTTAGGATTGTCGAAGAACAAAAAGGTCTGCTCTTTCCACACAGGCCCAGGAAGAAAAATCTGCCACCTCAGGCTTCTGTGCCCCATGGGGCGGGTAGGGGGGTGGGGTGGGATTGAGACCCTAGTCTTTCTCACCTTGTCTGTTTTATCTTCCGAGAAGGGATTCTGGGAAGGGTCCTGGTCGATCCCACCTCCAATACTGAAGCCCAGGATTAAGTTCTCACCTTGACGCAACTTATGAATTTCAACTCTTTGCTGGTAAAAGGAAAAGCAAGTTGAGGGCCAAAGGTAGGTGGGTGAAGAAAGAGCTGATCTCTGTGCCCAGCAGTAACCTCAGGCTGCAGAAAACCATGCCAAGGGGTTGGGGTTGAGGGCTGTCTGCAGAAATCCAACCAGCCACCTGTCCGGGAGGTTGGTGGTTGGATTTCAACCCCTACATACAGCCCTTTGCCTGCAACTTTCCCCGCCCATTTCCCATCCTTGATCAGTAATATATTCTGGGCCTAGCCTGGCCCAAGAAACAGAGGGTACTGTGGCTGCTATAGGAAAGACACCCATCTTTCTGAGGAGGGAGCACCCAGAAGAGGACAGATAAAGCCCTGAGGATGCAGATGCCTGCTGAGGCAGCTCAGATTGCTGACTGCCAAGCAAGCCCTACTGAGATTACAAAAGCCAGGAGGTGCATGGGAGAAGCAGAGGAGAAACTTGCATAGAAGAGAAGAAGGCTTCCTGGCCAAGGGGACTGGTGTGCACAGCGCAGGACACAGGACCAGGAGGTGAGATGGGATGAAGGATGAGACTGTGGGGTGGAGGCCAAGTCATATCCTCTCCAGTCCTTAGGTCCTGTTCTTATGCGGGATTATATAAGAGATAGTATCATAGGGCTTTCCCAGCATGCTCTGGGGTTGGGGTCTCCAACTGTGCAGGCTCCTTTGAGAGCCCTCAGAAAGCATCCTCCAGCTACCAAAGTTGAGAATTTTAACACAAAGAAGTAGGAGTAACTTCCTGGACCTGGGAAGTTGAGAATTTTAACACAAAGAAGTAGGAGTAACTTTCTGGACTTGGGAAGGCTTCAACAAAGGAAGGATCATTTGCACCCAGCTTTGAAAATGATAGTGTACCACCACCTGGCCTCGATCTTGAACCTACTGGAACTCAAAAAAGAGGTAGGAGCAGGGCAAGGCATTGATGCTAGAATGATCACCGGAGTGGTAGGTAGAGGAGTGGATTTCTCATGGAATCCTGAAGACATGAGCTACTTGTAAGTGGTGATCCACAGACAAGGACTGATCCTGAGGAAGTGGAGCAGAGCACACTGTCATCAGTCTAAATCAGCAGTTTTCAACCTATGGATCAAAACTCCTTAGGGGAGAACGACCCTTTCACGATCACCTGAGACCATCAGAAAACACAGGTATTTACAGTACGATTCATAACAGATCCAAAAATTACAATTAGGAAATAGCAAGGAAAATAATTTTAGGGTTGGGGGTCACCACATCATGAGGAACTGTATTAAAGGGTTGCAGCATTAGGAAGATTGAGAACCAATCTGGATGAACATAGCCATCACTCAGTTGGGGACCCAGGTAGAACGCAGTGTCAGTAGTTAGGAGTGTCAGGAGCCATCCGCACAGGTTTCCAGAAGGCAGATCTCTGGGGCCAGAGTTCAGGGGAGAGGCCAAGATGACTGTAACAGAATCAGGATGTTAACTCTACTTGAGAGGGTAAGATTGGGAGGGAAGCATCTCCACCCCATGAGCAATCCAAGACCGGGAAAGAGGCCAGGTCTGCCTGCTTATGCTCAGGCATGCACCTGGCGTTAGGATTGGAGGGACTGTGAATTTACGGCTTTCAGAATGACTCTGACTGGCCTGACAAGAGGGAAGAGGAAAAGGCCCATTC